AAAATCGCATCTAAAATAGTACAGTAGAAGCCATTCTTCCGGTTAAGCTTAATCCTCTCCCTCTCCCCCCGCGGGAGAATTTAGAAAAATCCCTTCTTAGTGTCCATTCTCATGGCATACCCTACTAAAACGCATACAATACGAATACGAAATAACAAATTCGAATTTAAAACGGTTCGAACATTTTTAAAATCGAAATGGATAAAAATATTTATAACAATGTCTGAAATGTTATTAATTTAATACACCTAAGTACTCGATGAAGACTAAATCCACTCCCTCTCCCCCCACGGGGGAATTTTGAAAAATCCCTTCTTAGTGTGCATTGCCATGGCATACCCTACTAAAACACAGATAAAAACAAAAAATCACATCTAAAATAGTACAGTAGAAGCCGTTGTTCCGGTTAAGCCTTAATGCTCTCGCTCTTCCCCCCACGGGGGAATTTCGAAAAATCCCTTCTTAGTGAGCGTTTCCATGACATACCCTAACTGTCTACCAAATTTCACCTCTTTAGGTTAAGCAGTCTGCTCTGGGAGATGATGAATCAGTGAGTGAGTCAGTCAGTCAATCAGGACAAGCAATTTTATATATTTAGATGTATAAATATTTATATATTGCACTTTAAATGAATTTATCACAGCCAAACCTGCAAACAACACCCACTGAACATAAATGTTTATTGTTGGGAAGAGAGCTGAAAATTGCACAGGTTATATAAATGAAGAGAAAATTAATTTATTTCAGACACCATAGAAAAAAAATCACAAAAATGAAACTTTTTGTACAAAAATCCCCCTTTAATTAATTAATGTGCAAAGAATTCATAAAAACACACACAGATTGATCTTTTACAGATTGATTGTAGGCAATGACCAATATTAGAAAATAGAAAATGTCCTCTGCTGGCAGTGATAATTAAAAAATTTCTTCAAATTATTCTTAATTAAAAAACCCTAAAATGTGATTCTTGGTGTCAAAATTTTTTAATAATCACTGCTGGCAGAGACTGCAGTTTCTTCTTTGCATATTTTAATGTACGTTATAGCCTACAATAAACAATCAATTTATATCTGTATTTTGAAGAGTTCTCTGAAAGCTTGAAAAAAACTTTTGTATCAACTTTTTTTGTGATTGTCTACATTAATGATTATTTCTTTAATGTTTTTCGATAAAAATTTATTTTTTTCATTTACAGCTAAATTTAACCAGTAACCATGTAAAATGCCAGTAGCCAAGTCAGCCATCTTATCAATAATAACTAATTATGTTCAATACATTTTTTTTTTCTACATGTCATTTTGAGGACAGTGGCCATTGTTGAAAAGATAAAAATAGGATTTTTAATCACATACTCTTTAATTACGATATCTTCATAAAAGCTTTTGGAATAAAAAAAAATTCAAACGAGCATTCAAACAATTAAAAACCACATTGCGCCTGCACATTTTTAGTTTTATTATTATTTTTAGCCAGGACCATTGTTGAGAGTAATTGTTGTTTAGAAATTATTTTATATTCATTTTGTTTAAGAAGAAATGTTCCTGAAAAATGTCCATTTAAAGGTGGCAGTTATTTCAGGTTTGACTGTGTTGTTATTTTTTCACTCACGATGAAAATAATAAAATGTAAATGAACAATGTATCACTACAATGATGTTTGTCGTCAGAATAGACAATTTTCTTCAAAGATGTTGACATATATACAATGATTCTAATCATACTACTGTAATATTTTTACCAATTTTGCAACAGTATCATCATGATAATATATACATATATTGTCATCAATACTGGCTTAAATAATTACCTAATATGCCTTTGTTGATATAAGCAACTATCTTGTATTATTTGAATATACAAACGCCTAGAAGAACAAATTACGTACATTTTTATTTCCAAAAACTTTTTCTACTACCAATAGATATTTCATAGTATAAAAAAAAGTAAAACTTGAGGTAATAAAACATATGCTTAAAAACAAGAATAAATTGATATTAAACTAATACTTCAGATAAAAATTTTTAATTATTATTATTAATACAAATAACCATGATTCACTATACAGTACATATACAATATAATGTGTACATATAGTGTTTGTTTGTTTTATTAAGTTATGGCAATGCAACACTTGGGCGATCTGCCTAGGGAGATTCCTTCCGGCCCCTATTTGGGCATTAGAGACATGGAGAAAAGCCGGAAAACTCCACGCGGCCGGCCCATTCCGGCCAGGTGCAAACCCACGACCGAACTCCCAGCGTTTGGGGAACGGAACCGCTCGGCCACTGGCTAACCATACATACAGCAAATCATATCTATATACATACACATAAAAATATTTACAGTATATACATACATCATACACGGGCATATTATATATAGTGAAATATGTTTCTGGTTATGTAAATTATCAAAAAAACACGAACATTACAAAATTTCAGATTTTATAATATACAGTAAGACCCTGCTTAACGTAGGGGATGCATTCCTAGACAACAAAATGCTAAGAGTAATAGCGTTAAACGAAGTCATTTTAACATAGAGTAAATAGGGATAGGGAAACATGCCACCAAAAAGAAACAAATTTTACTCTAATTTTAAGTTATTTTTATATTAATTTGTATAATAATATGCCTGGTTTCACTTTTGCACTCCTTTTAAAATCTGAATCATTCGCTACAATTTGATCAACAATTTCAGTTATCTTACCAAACTTCTACTAGGGAAATCTGTAGAGAAATTTTTTGAGTGCTTTGTTTTCAGAATCTCTATTTTCCAGTTCCACACGAATTCCACGTTCTGCCAGTTCTCGAAGGTGGTCGTCGCTCTCGCCAGAAACATGCCGTAACTCCTTGATATCCCTCTCGTCTACATCTCCTAGTCCCGCCGTATAGATTAGATCGAGTTCGGTCAACCTAACGATACGACGACAAACTCTTCTCGTGGAGAATTCTCGGATGCCTTCGGCCGTAACTTCTTCCACACTTCATTCGTGCACTTATCAGTTAATTCTTGCCAAGCCAAGTCGATATTGCCTACGGCATCCACGACGTTATATTTTTTCCAAAATTGCACCAAACAAACACAGATTTAAAGAAAGTATGCCTTTTTGTCACCTTTGGCCGATTGGTTTGTGTTCGCAAATAATCGCATTATATACGAATCGATAAAATGCCGAGATAATTTAAATCGGCGTAAATTTTTAGCTTCTTTTTAGGCTTCGAGCAGACCGCGTTATATCGAATCAGCGTTAAGCGAGGCAGCGCTAAGCGGGGTCTTACTGTATTTATATTACAAAATATAATTGTGTATATATTTTCAATTGTAAATACAGTATTTAAATGCAGTTAAATTATACTTTTCTTTAATTAGTTGCGATGGTTGTGATCTTATGCATCCATCTTACATTTATTAATAATTTATACTTAAATAAACGTAAAAAAAGACTTACGTTTTCTTGCTTCGGCCACTTTTTCTGCAGCTCTCTTTTCGGCTGCTAATAGCTGCTGAATGCCTTGAGTTTGACTAGCCATTATATTATTATCGAGGATATCGTAAAACTAGGCGTAAATCTTATATAAATACTTTACAATTTTTAGAAGATGTAAACGATTCAGACCTACACTTCGGTTAACCAAGTCAGGTGATTTGCGATCCGAACAGCGACGCCTACCGGATTTGTAAATTTATTGATTCATCAGCTACATTTAAATAATTTAATTTATTTTAAGATTTACTTTTATTAAAAGATTTTTTATTTCATTTTTAATTTATTTATTATTAAGTTAATAAAAAATATTTTAAAGTTTGATAAACTTGTGACTTTTTAAAACTTTTCTTTTAGTCCTAAGGACACAAAATTCTTCTTACACTCGAAAGGTGAGTACCAGTTGCCAGCGGTTTCGTTCCCTAAACACTGGGAGTTCGGTCGTGAGTTTGCGCCTTGCCAGGATGGGCTGGCCGCGTGGCGTTTTCCTGGTTTTCTCCACGTCTGTAATTCCTGAATAGGGGTCAGTTACCCTTAAAAGACCTCCCGGAAGGCGTTATTCGCGCGCGTTACGTCCACCGGAATATCCAATTACCAATATTAGCCAGTGAGCTTACACATTCCACGGGGAGAAATAGCCAAAGAAGCCGATGCCCAACTTGCTACTAAACAAACAAACCCGAAAGGTTTTTAAAGTGGCAATCTGTTGTTCTGGGAAACCCGGGATCAAATCTGTACGAATAAAAAAACTCCAGGAATTTTTCAGTTTTGGAGTGCTCCATCTGGATATGAAGCCATTGGGCCCCATCTCTCACCACACCCCATTCATTGTGGCCTGACCAAACTCATAATAGGCTTGTTAAAAAAAGGCAATCTTAGTATCCACAGGTTGAAAAGATTATGCCAGTCCACCATTGATTCGATCCCTGACCCACCCGAGAAGGTCGGATCTGTTATTGACAGGAAAGTTAACAAAATCTTAGATAATGCAAAAACCACATTTTCATTGAGTATACCGACCTCCTCATACGCAGGTGTTGCTGCTAGGGCTAACACAACAAACACGAAAATCTATATATATATATGTTATGGACAAAGTGATTAATCGGGCATTATTCATAATGCTCGGTCATTATGAATAATGACAAAAGAGGATGCGCAGTGTGATAAATATTCATTAATTTATCAAATTGACCGGTCGTTATGAATACTGCTATCACCTAGTCGGGCAAAGTGATAATAATACGTTGAAAAGTGATTATCTGACTTACGCTAGCCAATTGGCACTCTGAGTTGCTGATTGTATTGTGTTGATTGCGTATTGCGTTTAGTACTGAATTTTAAATTGTGCGACATTTTAATTTGATTAAAAAAACTCCATTTATTTCATTTAGAAATATTTATTTTTTGTGAATTATTTCAAAGTATTTAAAAAAACATATAATCTTTTAAAACTAAGCTATTACTATAACTAATAAAACTAATNTGATATTTTGTATATCTTAAAAATAATTAATTCTGTCCCAGGATTTCCTGGGATTCCAGGAAACAGTTCACTTTCATCCCAGAATCCCAGGACAAGCAAAAGACCGGGAAATGAGAAATCCTAATATTTATATATCAAAAGAATCTGTATTCTAAGATTTGCATCAGGTCTTATAGATGTTCCAAAATTGAAATGCAAGACAGAACTAATGCAGATCATATATACAGATCAAAAATACTTGTATTTTATAAGATCTACATCAGTTCTGTTTTGCATTTCAATTTGGAACACCTATAAGACCTGATGCAAATCTTATTTATAGATCAAAAACATTTGTTATATTTTTTCTTATATTAAAGTTTGTTGCTGGACATATTTAAGGTTCTCTTGTGTGTTGTGTCATATGTATCTTTTATGATGACCTTAAGTTTTCTTGGCTTAGATTGCATTCATTAACTTCTAAGAAAATTCAGATTCAGTTTTGTTTCATGTTAGAGCATATTTATTGGACTGCAATTTTCAAATTTCAGATCTACACATTCCCACTGTTATCCATCCATCCTTCATTAATCTCAAGACAGAGCCAAATAGATGAAAATTGAAGTTGGATATGGAAAGCTTAAGACCAAAGCCTTGATTAACTATATATACAAATTTCCAGCATAAGCCATAAGTCACATGACTTTTTCAATTAAAATATGATTAAAACTTGCAGCCAATGTCAATAATATACATTTGATTTTTATTTACAATTTTATATTTCAGACTTGTGTTTGCAAAAATTTACAAAGACTTATTTGGATTAATATCCAATAATTAAAAATGTATATATTTAATATGAAATAATTACATAGAAACCAAACTCTTTCCACATTACTTGTACTTAATATCATTATCCTAGATATACATATAAAATGATCTAAAATTCTCATTTTGAAATAAAATTTGATAAATTAACTTCAAATTTCTGACTTCAAAATGCTGCCAAACACTTCTACTGTATGCCAAATAAAACTTTCTTTATGTTTTATAATTACATTACAATTAAGTGTATAATAAATTCTGATTTGGCATTTTTCACATCTTTCTATCAAACTTAAAAATTATTTATTAACTAGCTGCAAGGACCTGCTTCGCTGGGTTTTTATTTGTATGTAATATAGTTTTTTTTATATATATAAAAGACTGTTTTTCTAAGTAATCTAGAATCTAGCTGCAAGGACCCGCTTCGCTGGGCAAAAAGTAACGATAGTGAAGATTAAGATAATTACTTTATAGCTAATCTTACCCGTTTTCACAGAATGCAAGAATTAGGTCCCCCGTTTCCAGACTAATTAGAGAA